AGAAGCATTCGTTTGTTGGTGGCTAGCAGTACGAGGCAAGCAAGATCCATATAACAGAGTTATTGGCTGAAAACATAGTTATTGGCTGAAATCAATTCACTTGCTGAATTTAATGCCATTAACTGAAACCATTTGGAATAATTCTAATGAGCATTGTGTCTCAGATTTTGAGGAGAACATATGGATGATATTATATGGTCATACACTTGTTACAGAAATTTGAATATCTACATACATACCACTTGATTCTTTACATATTTGCTGAAATTTCAAAGGCATCTAGAAGCATTCGTTTGTTGTTCATACATTCCCCATATCAGAAAAAATGTCTCAGGTTTTTAAAAATTTGAAACATCTTCGATATGGAGAAATGTCACTGTAAATCTCATTTGAATGCCAAGATGTGTGACTAGTGTCAATTAATAATGAAGTGGCTAGCAGTAAGAGGCAAGCAAGATCCATATAACAGAGTTATTGGCTGAGAACATAGTTATTGGCTGAAATCAATTCACTTGCTGAATTTAATGCCATTAACTGAAACCATTTGGAATAATTCTAATGAGCATTGTGTCTCAGATTTTGAGGAGAACATATGGATGATATTATATGGTCATACACTTGTTACAGAAATTTGAATATCTACATACATACCACTTGATTCTTTACATATTTGCTGAAATTTCAAAGGCATCTAGAAGCATTCGTTTGTTGTTCATACATTCCCCATATCAGAAAAATTGTCTCAGGTTTTTAAAAATTTGAAACATCTTCGATATGGAGAAATGTTCTGGCAATTGCTTCTCTAATGATATTTTGCCTGGTGATATGAGTAATCTTACTATTTTCATATTTCAGAAGCAATAGTTTTTTGACTAATCATATGTATAGACGACTAAGCAATAATTTGATGTTACCATATGTCATGCTTGCAATGTGATATGCATAATCCATAATGTCAAGGTCATATGCATAATCTGATTTGAACCAACAGAAATCGGGTAGAGATGAAGAAAAGAATGGCCGAATTGTAGCATGTAATAAAGATACTCCTTTCCCAAATCCATATTGTAGCATTCAATAGAGATGCAACGGATAATGTAAACAATTTTTTTGTAAGACGTTTCCCAGTAATGGAAGTTCTTTGTGAGACAGATGCCAAATCAAGAGAAGTTTTAGAAGAATATGTTAACTACCAAACAATCACTCGCAAAACTCAGAGATCCGAAGCAATAGAAGCAGGTACATGTAGAAGAACCAAAAAAAATTCATCGATCCATAAAACTCACGAATCCAGATCTTACCGGAGAGGGAAAAAGAACGAGAAATCGAGCCCTAATGATGCTTTCGTTCGGAGAGGGAGGAAGCGAGGGGAGAGCGCGAGGGAGATCACCAAGGGCAAAAGAAGGAATTGCAGCCCTAACGCCAACAGCCAACGCCGAACGCAGGAGGCGCCCCGCGATCCGCATAATGAAGAAAAACCGAACCGCGGGACGCAGCGTTCAGAACGCCGCCGAACGAACGCTCGAAACAAACGGGTAGGCGGCGTTCTGAAAACGCCACCGTCCATGAAAAAGCTGTGCCAAACAGGGCCGAAGTATGCGCACACCATATATACAATTTCTTTAGCTTAGACTGCTTGATTGAAAGAAAAATCTCTCAATCATCAGGGCAAGGTACCTTGTTGTAAATCAAAAATGGGCCAGCATTGATCCTGAGGAGATATGACGATTCAGAAGAGGTGAATATGACAAAAGAGGGTCTGTCGACAGAAGACTAAGAGCCTCACTTATCAATATGGTGAAGTCGTCCGAGCCAAAGCAACCAAGGCCAAAATTGATCAAATTGCGAATGATGACCAAATGGCCTGAATCTAAGCTGTTCGGTTGGAAGACAAAGGGACATCATAGCCAACCAACATGAAGAAGCTGACTTGAGGGAAGCTCTTGCCCATCGACAGATCCAATGATTATACTGGGGGTGTTTAGAGCTCCCCCATCTATTATAAAGGGGTCAACAACCAAAATAACTCAGCCGACCGAACCAGTCATGTCAACCAAAAGTCAATTGAGCTCATCCGACCGTCAATACCGACAAAGCCCAATCGAACGAACTGGCCATATCAAGATAACGCCATATAAGCTCAGCTAAACAACTCAAAGTGCATTCGAGCGATAAATATATACCTATAAAATATCTACAATATCACGTACAATCCCCATTAATGCAGGGGCAAAAAGTATAATATTATCATATTTTATTCTCCGCAATATAAATGGGAAAATCATTTCATGGATAAATGTAAAGTATCTTCTCACTTAGATTTATTAGCATATGATAATTATAGGTAAACTATTTTCTAATTTTTCTAATAAGAATCTATAATGGCAACAACAATTTAAAAAGAAAATAATTTCTTTACCGTACAACTATCATTAACCTTATATGACAATAACTATCTTCTTACTTCTATATATAT